CTCCCAGTTGCTTCACGGGATGGGATCCAATATGGACTATCATACGAAAAGCTCCTTCGGATGCGCCCATTTGTTAAACAATGCCCGCCATCTTCACCCCCACTGCTCCATCCCCAAGCAAAGCCAAGGCGGCCAGAGGCGGTTTAGTCCCCACGCCCTCAATTCCAAACCCAAAGCTCAAAGGCCCAAGCCCTGAAGTCCGAAACCCTTTCAGACCCTAAACTCAGAAGACCGGGGCTCAGAGCAAGCTGAGGCCGGCAAAGCGAACCATAAAAAGCGAGGGGACCTAAGGTATTACAGGAGGGGCTCCTGGATAACTAGGCCCTATACAGGGATGACGGCTGAGAGAGGGCGACGTAGGAGTTTCCGAGACAAGAAGCAGCATAGCTACAGAGGCATTTCGTCTAGCTCCCAGTCCTCCCTCCCGGCCTCGAGCCAATTGCTGATTAACAGTTGTGATTGGGGATCTGGCTTTGGGGAAGGTTCCAGCTCCATGATGCTTTAAAAAAAAATCGTTCAATCGCCAGGTGGAGAGTTGTGGCAGACCCTGTCCCAAGCTTTCTAGCTCTAAAAGCAGGGTTCTTGCTGACGAATTGTAATTCAGGTTACCACAAGAAAGCATATTGCTTCAAAGAAGATGCTTTCGAAGACCCTGCAAAAAACTGCATCCACATCGTAGGCCGCTGTGGCGATAGTCTGAAGAAAAGGGCATTGGGTTCAGAGCTCTAATGTCGGGACGGATGCATCTGCATCTTGCTAAAAGTGGCCACATGATGCCAGGCCTGGCAGACCTTTCAGTTGTTCGGTGACTGCACTCGTTGCGACACTAAATAGCAAGATCAGTCTTGAAACACAAACCCCAATGACCCCTTAGCTACCCAAAGCCCTTCAACTGCACTGCTCAGGAAGAGATCCGGTACCCTCGCCCGGGACAGCTCTCTGGTGAACAAAAGGATAAGGCCCAGGGTGGTCCTTCTTGGAAGTCCCCTAATTCCTTTCAAAGGCTAGGGTGTGGTGCGCTGTCTTGTTCCTCAAACCCCGATAAGGCACTGATACGGCGTGCGGCACCCTTTCAGGGTGCAGCTCTTGTCGGTGGGGTTTCGTGGTTTGCCGTGAATAAATACGCCTTCTAACACACCTTTAGGACTTGAAGGCTGAAGGGTTCGAAGGGTTCTGGGCTTTTTCAGGCTGTGAGGGCTTTTTCCGTCGAAGGGTGGAACTCCGGCCGCGGCCCTGTAGCATTCCAGAAAGCATCTCCCAGCTTGACTCGGGCTCTTTGCGACTGACCGAGTCTATGAGAGGGGGTCTTTTCAGGGTGAGATCCCTGAGCAGCTGAACTGCCATTGTTCCGATTCTTGCCATGGTCTCGAATAGCCTTGACAGCGCAGGTCTGCGGCAAGATGCTGTTATGCCGCGTGACACTTGGCTGCCAAAGAAGTTTTGAATGCGCCTCTCCCTGCTGCGTAGCTGTTTCGTCATCTTGAGACGGCGGAAACTTGAAATCCTCAATCAGCTTTGAACACTTTTTCGAATTACTTGTGAGCACAAGTCGTTCTCGGAACGGCTTTGGTTAATCCTGTTGGAGTGCACGTTCAAGCTACTCGTAGAGCCCATTACCCTGCTGCCAAAGAAATAGGGAAATTCCATGGCATAATTGCACAACCGAGAAGAGCCATATCGGTGCTGTCAGAGCATCCTACCCCCCCCCCCCCCCGGGCCTCTAAACTTAAGTAGAGCACTGCTGCAAACTCTGCAAATGCTCAGCCCGAAGCCTGCTGCTCTCAGCTGGACCCCTACTCCGAGAGCCCAATAACCCTTTGAGTTTGGATGTACCTTACTTCACAGAAGGACTTCTGCTCTGACTTTCCAGCCATGTCTTGAATTGCAGGCTATTGGGCTCTCTGGATGTGACTTCAAGGGTCGTTCGGGCATGTCTCAGGCACTTGCCTAAACATCCAGGCCCCGGTGAAAAAGGCTACTCCACTCTCGTGCACTTGGAGCCAGACAGGCCCGCTCTGAGCCCTACAGCTGAAAACCTCAGGATAGCCCTGCCACCTCGGGGAAAACCCTGACAGCAGCGGGGAAAACGTTGGGATGCTTCGAAGTTCTGGATTGCATCCCTCTGGGTCTCCTTGCAGGAACCTCCGTTTTAATCGGTAACCCTTACCATTCTGTAAACCCCCTTGAACCCCTACCCTTCCGACCGCCTTACGACAGAAACCTTGCATCAACCCGTGGTTGGAACCCCTATGAAGACCCCATGCCATATCACGAGAAAAAAACGAACTTTAACAGTAGAACATGAGAACATGAAAGTCTGGTGGCTCCGAGGATGTCTCTCGTCCCGATGCGACTGAGAAATGCCGCGTGGATTCGGAAACCTATGTCCTAAATCCTACTCGGTGCCCTCCTTGGGCGGACGAGGATCTCAACTCAGAGAAACCTCTTCGTAGGCAAAGAAGGGTTTCGTGCCTTTTCATAAGGGTTCTTTCATCTCTAGGGCATGCTGGGGTGGCTTATCTGTAATGCTCTACAAACCCTAGTTGTTGTTCAGGGGCCTTACCAACGACACCTTGCGCAAATCAAAGTTCCAAGCTGCAGGATTGATGAGTTCAGGGATTGTAGTCTTCGACTGGAGCCTATGACGCGGGATGTACTCACCACGTGGCAATGGTGCAGGTGCAGCCACACCTTGTTTACATGAACATGCATGTGGGAGTCCATCGTGTAATCTCGGCAGGAGCAGTAGTAGAAGTGGTCGTCGTGGTGCTGGTGGCAGCAGCAGGAGCAATACTGGCTCATCACTGTTGTGAAGTTCACCGATCTCTGGGTTACAGATGCCCTAGAACGGCCGAAGAGCAGTCAGCACAGCGATCAAAGTCAGGATGCCAGTCCTAAGTGCAGACATCCAAAGGTCATGTGGGATTCCGACGTGGACTTTGACCTTGCCGCATTCCATGCACCACGTCCTAGCGGAGCTTCAGGGTTTGAAGGTTTTGGAGCTTTGGGAATTGGGGGGCGGGGGGGGGGGGGGTCGGGCCAGATGGTTTCAGAACCTACCCCAATCTGCCCAGCACCCCTGAGGCTGCGTAGTTCGGTTGCTTTGAGGTCCATAGGACTCAGAGTTGAGGATGGCAGCCGAAAGGAGCAGACTTGTTCAGCTATTGAGAGTACCTGCACCTGGAGCTTCGTTTCGCCGCGTTTCCAGACATTCCCCGAGGAAATCGGTAGTAACTTCCCTTCAAAAAGAAGGCCTGCAGAACCCTAGACCCCAAGCCTCGTCGACCATAATACTCTTAGGCTTAGCACCTAATCCCGTCTGCCCTACACTGTGCTAAGGCCCTGGTTCGAGCTCTGAAGCGGACGCTGAGGTGCACTATCCGAATTCGGCTGCAGGATCCATTCTACGACTACAGCTTCGGGGTTGTATCGGGCGTTGCAGCAGTTCATAAACTTTCACCGCGGTTTGTCGGTTTACAGCTCCAGAGTAGGGGTCTGCCCAACCCCAAGCCGTAAGCCCGAAGTCTCAGGGTTTCAAGACCCTGGATTCCTTAGGTTCAGAAAAGGCCCCCCTCTGCCAGGTCCAGGAATTAAGGCTCAGAAGCCCTGTGTGTGAAAAGATCCGTGTCTGGACTTTCCTGTTAATTGAAGCCCAAGGGTACTGGACACTAATCCCACGGAATTATGGATGTTACTTTCGCGGAACATGAAGTATTCCCCGCCTACAATCAGCAAGCCTAATCCTCAACCCCAATCCCTGAAATTCCTAAAATAAAGCCTGAAGCCTCAGACCTTCGAAACAGTTGTGGTGATTCGGCTTTTCAACACAGACCCTAAGTAGCACCCTACGCTTCCGAAGAATCCCCAACGGAACTGAGGCAACTTGTAGAAGGAGCTCTTGCTTCGGTCCTGCTGAAGGACCGGCAAGACTTTGCAAACTTTCTCGAAATCTTGAAGATACGGAAAATGGATGAGGGAATAGTGCGCAGCATGCAGAATGACTGCGACAAGATGTGTGCTGGGATGTGAGATTATGGGGTTCAGCGGGACACAGTGCCACACTGCTGCTAAGGTTTTAAGACTTCCACGCCTCAGGAAGTTCATTTGTCTGTTTCATGTTCACAGTGTTCAGGGCTAGTGGCCAGTTTCCACAGTGTTTCACTTTGCCTGACCCTAAGTACAGGATGGCTCAAACCTGAACTTCTTAACTCTAAACCTTCTACTAATACTGCGGCTGAAGATTCAACCTTTGCTTTGCTAACTACAAATCCCCTCATCAAGCAGAGGCAGCTGAGGCTCAAACTACGAAGCACTGAAAGGCCCAAGCTCTTGCAAAACCCTTCAGGAAAGTATTGGAAACCCTGAAACTCCAATGCCACCAGCCTTGAATACTCTAGCCCGGAACACACATGTTTTTTTATCAGCAAGGCCTATGGTCCCAGAACGAGGAAAAGAAGATCCACTACCGCGTAGAAAACCCGTAGAAGCACTCTTGCACTCATATTATAATTGTCATATTTCTCCAAGAGCCCAAGAACTGCAAACGTCTGAAGAACTGTACGAGCCCAAATATTAACCCCTCCCTTGGGTTCCTAATGCCCTAAGCGCACCTGCCAGAGCCGCAGGACCTCTCAAAGGTGAAGCTCCTTCCCAAGGGCTTCATGTGTGCCACTCCCAGCAAGGACCGCAGAGATTTCCCCTGAAAGCTCAGTGGGAGCTGTGGGTCGACGTCTGTGCTTCCGGGCTTCCGGGAGGGCGTTGAGGACTCACGGCTTGTTTTTTGGCTCAGGGTTATGATTTCACGGTTTCGTCTTCAGCAAAGGGAGTAAAATTTGAGAAAAGCGGTACTTCTGGATGAATTTTTCCAGGGGTCAGCAACAACAGTGACCTGCAAGGACATGTCGCGTCCCGGTGAGAGATGTCGCCACATGCCCTGAGCCTCTCGCTGCTCAAGCTTTCACAAGTCCTCTGACAGACTTGCTCCGACCCTCTTGGAAGACATGGCCCCGGCAATGAAGTCTGCGATGAAGTCCAAGTCCATGAAGGCTGCCAAAGCCATGACCAAGAGCCAGCTTGCCGACCAGCTCGCTACCAAGTCGGAGCTCAAGAAGAAGGATGTCCTGTCAGTCCTGCAGAACCTTTCCGAGATCGGTGCCAGCGAGGTCACCACCACCGGCAAGCACCTTGACAGCTTTTGGAAGCCAGTTTGGGCGTTTACTGGCGTTTAGGCTTTGATGATGGATGTTCCCAGAGTCAAAGAGTCATGCTCAACAATCTGCAGCACGTTTTCGATGTGAGCTACATGTGTCTGAGGTTCGTTCTCCCAGGGCTTTGCATGATCAAGACTCGTGCCTGGGCTGATCAGCAACATGCATCTGACCGCTAGAGCGAGAGTAGGAGCATGTAGGTTGAATTGAGCCGCAAGGTGTGAAGCCTGCAACGAAGGGTGGCACCCGTATGATGTTCGGCAAGGCACGCAGAGAGCTATGATGTAGCTTCATTGTGAGTGTGATCTTTGCTGCAGGAGGTGCAGGTCAAGGCGCAGAAGGCGGGAGCCTTCTCAAATAGTGACTAGTGGCTTCGGGTATCTTGTTGCTGCAACTCTTCGGCGAGGCGAAGACGATTGTGAAAGCCATGCCGGTGGCGGCACTCAAGAGCCAGGTATAGGGGGTGGCCGTGAGTGCTTGCAGCAAAGCTGCAGCTAGCTGCGTGTTTGTCGATGGGGTTCGACGGTGGGCACGCTAGCTCGCTGTGGAACGAGAGCTGTAGTCGTGCGCAATCAGACGCACGCCGTGTACCGATAGATGCCATGTGAAAACAAGCAGGCTGCCTTGCATGAGAATGGTTTGGGGTGACCTGCAAGGACGTGTCGCGTCTGGGTGAGAGATCTAGGGCGGCTGGAATCTTTATCGGCGCCTTTGCCAGCTCTTCAGCTCTGCTTGCTTCGCGGCACTTTTGAGTTGTCGCCACATGCCCTGAGCCTCTCGCTGCTCAAGCTTTCACAAGTCCTCTGACAGACTTGCTCCGACCCTCTTGGAAGACATGGCCCCAGCAATGAAATCCGCGATGAAGTCCAAGTCCATGAAGGCTGCCAAAGCCATGACCAAGAGCCAGCTTGCCGACCAGCTCGCTACCAAGTCGGAGCTCAAGAAGAAGGATGTCCTGTCAGTCCTGCAGAACCTTTCCGAGATCGGTGCCAGCGAGGTCACCACCACCGGCAAGCACCTTGACAGCTTTTGGAAGCCAGTTTGGGCGTTTACTGGCGTTTAGGCTTTGATGATGGATGTTCCCAGAGTCAAAGAGTCATGCTCAACAATCTGCAGCTCGTTTTCGATGTGAGCTACATGTGTCTGAGGTTCGTTCTCCCAGGGCTTTGCATGATCAAGACTCGTGCCTGGGCTGATCAGCAACATGCATCTCACCACTAGAGCGAGAGTAGGAGCATGTAGGTTGAATTGAGCCGCAAGGTGTGAAGCCTGCAACGAAGGGTGGCACCCGTATGATGTTCGGCAAGGCACGCAGAGAGCTATGATATAGCTTCATTGTGAGTGTGATCTTTGCTGCAGGAGGTGCAGGTCAAGGCGCAGAAGGCGGGAGCCTTCTCAGCTAGTGACTAGTGGCTTCGGGTATCTTGTTGCTGCAACTCTTCGGCGAGGCGAAGACGATTGTGAAAGCCATGCCGGTGGCGGCACTCAAGAGCCAGGTATAGGGGGTGGTCGTGAGTGCTTGCAGCAAAGCTGCAGCTAGCTGCGTGTTTGTCGATGGGGTTCGACGGTGGGCACGCTAGCTCGCTGTGGAACGAGAGCTGTAGTCGTGCGCAATCAGACGCACGCCGTGTACCGATAGATGCCATGTGAAAACAAGCAGGCTGCCTTGCATGAGAATGGTTTGGGGTGACCTGCAAGGACGTGTCGCGTCTGGGTGAGAGATCTAGGGCGGCTGGAATCTTTATCGGCGCCTTTGCCAGCTCTTCAGCTCTGCTTGCTCCGCGGCACTTTTGAGTTGTCGCCACATGCCCTGAGCCTCTCGCTGCTCAAGCTTTCACAAGTCCTCTGACAGACTTGCTCCGACCCTCTTGGAAGACATGGCCCCGGCAATGAAATCCGCGATGAAGTCCAAGTCCATGAAGGCTGCCAAAGCCATGACCAAGAGCCAGCTTGCCGACCAGCTCGCTACGAAGTCGGAGCTCAAGAAGAAGGATGTCCTGTCAGTCCTGCAGAACCTTTCCGAGATCGGTGCCAGCGAGGTCACCACCACCGGCAAGCACCTTGACAGCTTTTGGAAGCCAGTTTGGGCGTTTAGTGGCGTTTAGGCTTTGATGATGGATGTTCCCAGAGTCAAAGAGTCATGCTCAACAATCTGCAGCACGTTTTCGATGTGAGCTACATGTGTCTGAGGTTCGTTCTCCCAGGGCTTTGCATGATCAAGACTCGTGCCTGGGCTGATCAGCAACATGCCTCTGACCGCTAGAGCGAGAGTAGGAGCATGTAGGTTGAATTGAGCCGCAAGGTGTGAAGCCTGCAACGAAGGGTGGCACCCGTATGATGTTCGGCAAGGCACGCAGAGAGCTATGATGTAGCTTCATTGTGAGTGTGATCTTTGCTGCAGGAGGTGCAGGTCAAGGCGCAGAAGGCGGGAGCCTTCTCAGCTAGTGACTAGTGGCTTCGGGTATCTTGTTGCTGCAACTCTTCGGCGAGGCGAAGACGATTGTGAAAGCCATGCCGGTGGCGGCACTCAAGAGCCAGGTATAGGGGGTGGCCGTGAGTGCTTGCAGCAAAGCTGCAGCTAGCTGCGTGTTTGTCGATGGGGTTCGACGGTGGGCACGCTAGCTCGCTGTGGAACGAGAGCTGTAGTCGTGCGCAATCAGACGCACGCCGTGTACCGATAGATGCCATGTGAAAACAAGCAGGCTGCCTTGCATGAGAATGGTTTGGGGTGACCTGCAAGGACGTGTCGCGTCTGGGTGAGAGATCTAGGGCGGCTGGAATCTTTATCGGCGCCTTTGCCAGCTCTTCAGCTCTGCTTGCTCCGCGGCACTTTTGAGTTGTCGCCACATGCCCTGAGCCTCTCGCTGCTCAAGCTTTCACAAGTCCTCTGACAGACTTGCTCCGACCCTCTTGGAAGACATGGCCCCGGCAATGAAGTCCGCGATGAAGTCCAAGTCCATGAAGGCTGCCAAAGCCATGACCAAGAGCCAGCTTGCCGACCAGCTCGCTACCAAGTCGGAGCTCAAGAAGAAGGATGTCCTGTCAGTCCTGCAGAACCTTTCCGAGATCGGTGCCAGCGAGGTCACCACCACCGGCAAGCACCTTGACAGCTTTTGGAAGCCAGTTTGGGCTGGCGTTTAGGCTTTGATGATGGATGTTCCCAGAGTCAAAGAGTCATGCTCAACAATCTGCAGCACGTTTTCGATGTGAGCTACATGTGTCTGAGGTTCGTTCTCCCAGGGCTTTGCATGATCAAGACTCGTGCCTGGGCTGATCAGCAACATGCATCTGACCGCTAGAGCGAGAGTAGGAGCATGTAGGTTGAATTGAGCCGCAAGGTGTGAAGCCTGCAACGAAGGGTGGCACCCGTATGATGTTCGGCAAGGCACGCAGAGAGCTATGATGTAGCTTCATTGTGAGTGTGATCTTTGCTGCAGGAGGTGCAGGTCAAGGCGCAGAAGGCGGGAGCCTTCTCAGCTAGTGACTAGTGGCTTCGGGTATCTTGTTGCTGCAACTCTTCGGCGAGGCGAAGACGATTGTGAAAGCCATGCCGGTGGCGGCACTCAAGAGCCAGGTATAGGGGGTGGCGTGAGTGCTTGCAGCAAAGCTGCAGCTAGCTGCGTGTTTGTCGATGGGGTTCGACGGTGGGCACGCTAGCTCGCTGTGGAACGAGAGCTGTAGTCGTGCGCAATCAGACGCACGCCGTGTACCGATAGATGCCATGTGAAAACAAGCAGGCTGCCTTGCATGAGAATGGTTTGGGGTGACCTGCAAGGACGTGTCGCGTCTGGGTGAGAGATCTAGGGCGGCTGGAATCTTTATCGGCGCCTTTGCCAGCTCTTCAGCTCTGCTTGCTGCGCGGCACTTTTGAGTTGTCGCCACATGCCCTGAGCCTCTCGCTGCTCAAGCTTTCACAAGTCCTCTGACAGACTTGCTCCGACCCTCTTGGAAGACATGGCCCCGGCAATGAAGTCCGCGATGAAGTCCAAGTCCATGAAGGCTGCCAAAGCCATGACCAAGAGCCAGCTTGCCGACCAGCTCGCTACCAAGTCGGAGCTCAAGAAGAAGGATGTCCTGTCAGTCCTGCAGAACCTTTCCGAGATCGGTGCCAGCGAGGTCACCACCACCGGCAAGCACCTTGACAGCTTTTGGAAGCCAGTTTGGGCGTTTACTGGCGTTTAGGCTTTGATGATGGATGTTCCCAGAGTCAAAGAGTCATGCTCAACAATCTGCAGCACGTTTTCGATGTGAGCTACATGTGTCTGAGGTTCGTTCTCCCAGGGCTTTGCATGATCAAGACTCGTGCCTGGGCTGATCAGCAACATGCATCTGACCGCTAGAGCGAGAGTAGGAGCATGTAGGTTGAATTGAGCCGCAAGGTGTGAAGCCTGCAACGAAGGGTGGCACCCGTATGATGTTCGGCAAGGCACGCAGAGAGCTATGATGTAGCTTCATTGTGAGTGTGATCTTTGCTGCAGGAGGTGCAGGTCAAGGCGCAGAAGGCGGGAGCCTTCTCAAATAGTGACTAGTGGCTTCGGGTATCTTGTTGCTGCAACTCTTCGGCGAGGCGAAGACGATTGTGAAAGCCATGCCGGTGGCGGCACTCAAGAGCCAGGTATAGGGGGTGGCCGTGAGTGCTTGCAGCAAAGCTGCAGCTAGCTGCGTGTTTGTCGATGGGGTTCGACGGTGGGCACGCTAGCTCGCTGTGGAACGAGAGCTGTAGTCGTGCGCAATCAGACGCACGCCGTGTACCGATAGATGCCATGTGAAAACAAGCAGGCTGCCTTGCATGAGAATGGTTTGGGGTGACCTGCAAGGACGTGTCGCGTCTGGGTGAGAGATCTAGGGCGGCTGGAATCTTTATCGGCGCCTTTGCCAGCTCTTCAGCTCTGCTTGCTCCGCGGCACTTTTGAGTTGTCGCCACATGCCCTGAGCCTCTCGCTGCTCAAGCTTTCACAAGTCCTCTGACAGACTTGCTCCGACCCTCTTGGAAGACATGGCCCCGGCAATGAAATCCGCGATGAAGTCCAAGTCCATGAAGGCTGCCAAAGCCATGACCAAGAGCCAGCTTGCCGACCAGCTCGCTACGAAGTCGGAGCTCAAGAAGAAGGATGTCCTGTCAGTCCTGCAGAACCTTTCCGAGATCGGTGCCAGCGAGGTCACCACCACCGGCAAGCACCTTGACAGCTTTTGGAAGCCAGTTTGGGCGTTTAGTGGCGTTTAGGCTTTGATGATGGATGTTCCCAGAGTCAAAGAGTCATGCTCAACAATCTGCAGCACGTTTTCGATGTGAGCTACATGTGTCGGAGGTTCGTTCTCCCAGGGCTTTGCATGATCAAGACTCGTGCCTGGGCTGATCAGCAACATGCATCCGACCGCTGGAGCGAGAGTAGGAGCATGTAGGTTGAATTGTGCCGCAAGGTGTGAAGCCTGCAACGAAGGGTGGCACCCGTATGATGTTCGGCAAGGCACGCAGAGAGCTATGATGTAGCTTCATTGTGAGTGTGATCTTTGCTGCAGGAGGTGCAGGTCAAGGCGCAGAAGGCGGGAGCCTTCTCAGCTAGTGACTAGTGGCTTCGGGTATCTTGTTGCTGCAACTCTTCGGCGAGGCGAAGACGATTGTGAAAGCCATGCCGGTGGCGGCACTCAAGAGCCAGGTATAGGGGGTGGCCGTGAGTGCTTGCAGCAAAGCTGCAGCTAGCTGCGTGTTTGTCGATGGGGTTCGACGGTGGGCACGCTAGCTCGCTGTGGAACGAGAGCTGTAGTCGTGCGCAATCAGACGCACGCCGTGTACCGATAGATGCCATGTGAAAACAAGCAGGCTGCCTTGCATGAGAATGGTTTGGGGTGACCTGCAAGGACGTGTCGCGTCTGGGTGAGAGATCTAGGGCGGCTGGAATCTTTATCGGCGCCTTTGCCAGCTCTTCAGCTCTGCTTGCTCCGCGGCACTTTTGAGTTGTCGCCACATGCCCTGAGCCTCTCGCTGCTCAAGCTTTCACAAGTCCTCTGACAGACTTGCTCCGACCCTCTTGGAAGACATGGCCCCGGCAATGAAATCCGCGATGAAGTCCAAGTCCATGAAGGCTGCCAAAGCCATGACCAAGAGCCAGCTTGCCGACCAGCTCGCTACCAAGTCGGAGCTCAAGAAGAAGGATGTCCTGTCAGTCCTGCAGAACCTTTCCGAGATCGGTGCCAGCGAGGTCACCACCACCGGCAAGCACCTTGACAGCTTTTGGAAGCCAGTTTGGGCGTTTAGTGGCGTTTAGGCTTTGATGATGGATGTTCCCAGAGTCAAAGAGTCATGCTCAACAATCTGCAGCACGTTTTCGATGTGAGCTACATGTGTCTGAGGTTCGTTCTCCCAGGGCTTTGCATGATCAAGACTCGTGCCTGGGCTGATCAGCAACATGCATCCGACCGCTGGAGCGAGAGTAGGAGCATGTAGGTTGAATTGAGCCGCAAGGTGTGAAGCCTGCAACGAAGGGTGGCACCCGTATGATGT